CGACCCGGAAAGCCATACCTTCAAAGGGTGTGATCCCGGGAAAAACCTGTCGTTGATTCCACAACACAGAAAAAAATCACCAAAAACATAATAGAAAGAGCTCGGTTCGATATTTCTGGCTGCTGCTTTAGGTAAGATACCTCCAAAGATCTTTGCATGTAATAGAAAACAAGTTGCTCTTTGAGTTGGATCCTTTCATCCTCCTCGGTTTCCTTCCCCGAGGAGATAAATGCCACAAACAACGAATGAGATGCTCTTGCGAGTTTCCGGTTAGGGTGTCCCAGATATCTATCCAAACTTATGCTAAGGAACAGAGAGATAGATGATCATAGTTACGTTAAAACCGAATACATGTAAACTGTAAAGAATGTTTGATCTTTTGATCCAGGATACAGAAACAAGGTGGCTGCAACCACTCTTCTGAAGATAGAACTCGGTAACCGTCCAATGCAAGTTGGAATAACTCGAAGATAAAACAATATACGAGCTGTTTGCACATCATCCCTTGACCACGTGTATTCTATCCTCTGCATTAAGGAATCTGCAGAACAAGTTTTGAAAAAATCTTACGTGAAGGTGAAAAGGGCGAAAAACTAATTTATAAACATAGATTTATCATATACCTTTTGGATTTGTCAAACTACGGTAGGAAGGCACAGACTCTACAAAGGAGATACATGCAGTGTCATTCTCCTGGACACTTACGATCACCTCTCTAATTGTCTCCATGTATTCGGGTAAACGTATATGCCTAAAATATTCTACGCACGAGAATGAAACTAATATCTTGACTGATGTTTCCATCTTTCTTTCTTCAGATACTACAGGGTTTAACCATTGTTTTGTAACAGCCAGTGCAAAGACAACAACCATAAGGAAAGATGATTCTGCAACTTTCTCTACATCCCCGAGCAGCTTATCTTCTATACCACGAAGCAACAAAGCAGCTTGGCGGTGCTGCGAGTAGAGATTTAGACAAAAATCCCACATCATATTCTCCACAAGGGATTTGTTCTCTTCACTCGCTGACACGTATTGATTGCAGAAAGCACCGGTTATGGCCCCTGACTCCTTGAAAAGAACATCAGACAGATGCTCACTGACCCAAATGAGTCTTGGTCCAGTTGGATCTTTACCAAAAGCACTGTGAACAGATTCATATATCTGGCCTAAAGGAAACACCTGAGTTAACAATGCAGAAACAAGGCATAAAAGCAAAGGGGCAGAGGAAGAAACAGAACCAGATCGAGCCAACGCTATTGCACAACACTTCAATAGGAGAACTTCTCCAGAGTTTCTCCGGATATCACTAAGTAGGCTATCACCAGTAGAAACTAGAAGTTTAGCTACAACTTCTATACGTTTTTCTGCTGAATCTCTGAGTTTAGAGATAATGTCAAAACTCTGGGCACCACCACTAAACCCCCTGGTGGAAGCTCTCAGTGCTCCAGCTGATGCCATGAGGACAGCAAAAGCAGAATGGCTTACCTTGGAAATCTCTAGTACCTCTTTAATAAAAAGCATAATCTTTTCAACCGAATTAGATCTGATGAAACCTGATATAACCCACTCGACCAAATGAAGGATCATCAACCCATGACTGACACTGCCACGAGGACCACCTTTCTTGTCCCAAATACCAAACAAGAAATCCAATAGTCGCACGTAATGACCATCTGAAGAAGAAGAAGATAAAGCATACCCAATTCCTGCAAGTACGGCATGAACAAGCTCTTCTTGAGATCCTATCAGTTGGTACTCTTCTTCCAAAAGCCTGCACAGAAACTCTAAGCAAGACGATTTCAAGTCTCCCGACAGAGAGGGAACACATGTAAATGCACCAGAGATCAGAACACCCTGAGCTACTAACGACGGACTGAGTTTCCGTCTATCGCAAAAAACGTCATGAACGACCTGAAGTGACGAACCAACAAGAGTCAAAGATGGTCGAAATGATTTCCTGATCCAGATGTAGAGCAACCTGACAAAAAGTGGATAAGAATCAGACGGAAGAGAAACATCCTGTGACCCTAGGATGGAAATGAGAAGCCTCGCTTGCGGGTCTGCGACATGGATTGTGGCCTCGTAATTAACTAGAGTTGTCAAAGCTTGAAAATGGCGTGAATCGAACTTCTGGGTTTGGAAAGATTCACGAAGTTCAGACCAAGCTTGAATGATTGATCTCGCAGGAGGACCAGGATTTTGCTTCACCAAAGTTCCATCAACACTACCGCTCATACCCTTCAACCATTGTTCGAGAAACACAGTGTTATTAGCTTCTCTCGCCATCTTATTTCTGACTAATTCAGCAAATACTAATTAACCCTAAAGTCCAAACCCCGAAATGTTGATTAAGGACTGACGAAACAGTATATCTCCGGTGAGAATTCAACAAAATTGATCGGAAAACTCTCCGTAAAATGCAAAACCCAGATAAAATTAAGCGGCGAGGTCGACAAAGAACTTAACTTTATCCTCGAGGCCCATGACGGTGCAGTGATTGCCAATGCTTCGGCTCAAAGAAAACAAAGAACCCTTATTACACAACATCCAAAACTAGGGTTCTACTGCATCGTAGCTGAGGACAAAATAGCGGTGGCCTTGCCTACAGAGCAAGCTCATACAAAGCGCTCTCTCTCTCTCTCTCTCTCGTCCCGTTCGTTGGATTGCAAAACGCCGCCGAATATCTAATCACACCGCGCCTGGTTTACCGTGACGGAAACAAATTACATAACTACCCTCTATTTTTATCGGAATAACCATAATGCCCCGACTCTGCCGCCGGAGCAAGCGGCGGCGAGTGACGAATATTTTTTATTGAAAAATAAAAATTAGAGAACCAAGCCTTTGTCGATTATTCTTTTCATTATATTCTCGAATATATTTATTATCATGTGTTCTCCATCAATGTATAATGTTTTTTACTAAATCTCATGCCAAAATTAAAAAAAATATATGTTTCATATCCTAATTTCTAGTGTTTATTTTTGTTGCCATGTTCCAAGTGTATTTTCGTTGCCCTAAAAATCCGTTTAAGTCGTATTTTTCTTAATTTTAAGTCACTTATAAACTTAACCCAACAAAATAAATAAAACCGCTTTAAAACCAATGTGTATGGTCCCAAATAAAGTTATTTTAGGTTTGATTTTATATCAACTTCATATTTTATATTGATTCGAATCATGATATGTTTTTTATAACGTATCATTTTAATTGCGTGACAGTTCATTTATTAGTTATTACAACTTACAATCGTTAGGACAGACACTCGTAAATTGTACAATCGTAAGATAAGTGGTATTTGATTATCCATAATTTGTTTCTTTTTTTATTTAAGAATAAATATTACAATCAAATAATTGTGTATAATTAAATATAATTTTCTATATCGAAACTCAAACTCGGAAATGGGTCAGACAACTATACATATACATACATATATATATATATATATTGCACAAAATGGACCGACCCCGGGGAACCAAAAACTAGAAGTCAGCATCCCACGTGATTATTTTCATCGGGAATACAAAATTAAATGTTTCCCATTAAAAGTCAAGATCCTTTTTTCTCATATAATATTATAAAATTATAACAATAACAACATCGATGACTTCCAGCAAGGAGCCATATAATGGATTTACAAATTATTCAAACAAAATGATAATTGGTGTGTAATTTAGTCATAGAGATGTAAATTTAGTGGGAGAAATTCTATCAAAAACCAACCACCACTGATTTGCATAGAATCATTATTATTTCCACATTAGGTTTTGAGTTTAACTGCACAAAAGTATATATCGCAATATTTTTGGCTTAGTTTACAATGGTTTATATTTATATATGCATATATGTATATATAATCAATCATTCAATATTGCGGTATATTCAATTGCCTTGCTCCCATATTAGTTTGTAATCGACCCATTACACCCAATTACAAAAAAAAAATATATTACAGTATATTGGAATTTGATTTAAATTCTATATTAGATATTTAGATTTTAACGAATATATATTATAACACTAAACAATGAATAACAATGTATAATCTACAATAATAATCTCTCCAAATCGAATGGAAATGATTTTTTTATGAATAATATTTAGAAATAGCTGGATCTAAAGTAAAAGAAAAAATCGAATGATGACCAAACCAACAAATAACCAAAAAAAAAAAACGCAACCCAATTCGTCCTTAATATTATTTAATTTCAACATACTAGGAATCTAAAATATTAATTGACGTAAAGATATAATTTATGGTGATTTACTTTAGGTTAGAAAAGCACAAAAACATGAATCTGAAATGTTGTGGATCGTCATTGATTATAAAGTATGTATCCATGAACAATGAAAAAACGTATACATGAAGGGTAATCATTGAATCTAGCTACAAAGTTTGGCTTTATAACCTAACCTAAAACAGAGAAACATGGAAAAACAAAAAATCATCATTACATTCATTACACAAAATTAAAAACGTCACATGAAATATATTATCATCTAAATGAAATTCTAATTAAACAATATTTTTTTCTCTGTTCGGATAACAAATGATATAGATATATATAATATGTAACCTCATCAGTGGTGCAAGGGGTTTGGACCAGATGGCACGAGTCGTTTCTCGTCCCCGAATCTTGGGTCGAGCTCGAAATATACCGGCGGGGATATTTTCCGGTGACTTTTCCAGCGAAAAGACGGCTTGTGTTTCAAGAAAGGCGTGAAATCAAACTCGCTTGCCAAGGCTCTTCTTCCTCCTTTGTCCGCGATGTCCGAATAAGACCCGTAGTCTCTAAACACGAAATTACCAAACCACCCTTGACGACAGACGAAGATGAGAAGAGATATCCATAGAAGAAACCCTAAAACGCGAGAGAATCCTGCGGCCATGGAGGAAACAGATCAAAAGAACGCCGAAGACGAAGACGAAGACGAAGAGAAGAGAAAATGTTGGTGTGTGTGTATATATACATGTATATATGTGCAGCCGAGAGAGAGAGAGAGATGAAGAGAAAATGTTTTCCAACGAAGAAGAAGAAGAAACTTCCTTTGCGTTCAAGCAAGAGAGGTCCATTAAATGGAAGTTCATTCCAAAGTCAAACATATAATCATAATATTATATATATATATATATATGTGTGCAGAATGACTGTATATATATGCATATGGGTGTGCGTGTGAATCAAATAATAAGGATCCATACAATGAGGCGATTTACAAGTACCGAGCGGTGGTCGAGAGGAGAACATTTTGACGCTTTTGTTTTTGTTTTTAAATTAATTACTGTAAATTTCCAAGTGATCACTATTTAATTTATTATTTACCTCGTTTTCATTCCGATTTTCTTGGTTGTATCGAAATACGGAACAATGGAATCCACCTGTAGTTATTACCAAAGTCGCGTGTTGATAATAATATATACCTACAAAATATTATATATATATATATAGACATAGAGACATGGTTATAATGTATATGTAAAGGATATATTATTTTTTAAAATTGACATGTTTTGTATAATTTTTTTAGATATATCTTTTCTATCCTCTATGTTATTTTGTGATAATTAATTCATGTTAATTATTTTTCAAAACATGCTATTCTATAAATGGATTAAAATTTATATTATTTTATAGAATTTATTCAATTTTACGTGTTTATTGTATTGCAATCCCAAAAATTAGATGAGTTTCAGGAAATTAAGGTGATATTTTTTTTCGAAAGCATGAAAAAAGAACAGAAAGATGCAATGGGGAAAATGTTAATCGAATAAATAAATGAATACATTTTTTAGATTAAATGGATGTAACTTAAATCAAGCTCAAATAAAGCCCTAAACTTTTAAAACCGTAAATCCAAAAAATAAATAAATAAAAAACCAACCGAACCAAAACATCCATCGTAGTTAATATATATATTTTTTTTCTTATGTGAAAGTGAGGTGTAATTACGCAAACTTTGCAATAATTGTGAAATAGTCAAAACTATTAAAACGAAAAATAAAAATGAAAAATAAACTGACATGGAAGCTAATAATTACATTTAATATATTGGCCGACATTCGAATACCATTATTGAAAAAAAAAATAAAGATTTTCCCATCTATTATATATGGCCACATGAATTTGAGAAGTTCACGTCTGAAAACCCAAAAGGTATGGTAAAATTTGTTTTTTACTACCTAGATTTTCCCCTGATTTATGTTTATTTTTGAGAAAAATAAATTCGACAATTCTTTTTCTGGTTGGATGTCTTGTAAAAAAAGAAGTTTGGAATTCATTACAGCTTTTTTTTGGTCAGGGTTTTCATCTTCAATTCAACGATTTTTTTTTATTGTTTCGTATAAAATAAAAAATGATAATTATACAGAGACAATAATAAAGAGCATTTTAGAATACGATTCAATTTGTTTCTTTTTAATCTCTTTTGATACCCACAGATTTTGCATTTGTTAGAAAAATATTATTTGTTTATTGGTTTTGACTGTTGAATGCATTACATATTTATTATTTAGGGTTCATCAAAGTGATTTTCGAGTCAGATTACAAATAAGCCATTGAAAATTTATCAAAGTGGATCAATGTGTTGAATTTGACTCACTGTTATCGCAATCACGTGAAACGAAAAATAACTGTAAGAATATGATTGCATAAAATATTTTATATTTGTGGAAATAAATAAATTTTTTAATCAAGATTTTATGCACCAAAACTATAATTTAAACGATCCAAATATAATTTCGACTGCATCATATTGGTTGCATATTGTAATTCAACACACATGTATCGCTCTCTTGATTTATATTTCTGGCAAATGCTTCACCAAAGTTATTATTGGTGGTATTATATAAGCCAAAATAATCATCACGTGTGTTCAAATTTATGCTTTTATTGATATAAAACAAATTATATGCCAAAACGCAATGGAACTGTAGGGATATAATTTATACTTCGGAAACTAGCGGGGCGAAAATGTATTTATTTTAAAATAGTGAGGGGATTTCTACAATTTGATGAAATTGGCCCATTCTTGATTCTTGGGCTCGATAAGAAAGACGCTCCGCGACCAACGTCTCTCCGCGGAAGAGAGAAATGGCGAAGGCTCGGAAGCCGAAGAGCGATGAAGCTCCGGCGGCGAAGCCGGCGGAGAATACCGGAGCAAAAGTCCGCCACCAGAAACTCTGTCTCTCTATCGATTTCGATAAACGCCAAATCTACGGGTTCGTTTCTCCTTCCTCCTCTTCTCCATACTCGAGTTGAGTGATTTGGGTTTGGTTGATGTAGTTGGGGGATGAAGAAACCCTAGTTCTTCGTTGAAATTGGTTGCTTTCGGATTCTTCACTAGACAGTGTCCTTCTGGGTTTTCTTGGCTGTTGTTGACATCTTTTGCGTTTGTTTAATCCGGGTTCTCTCCAATCTTGCTGAGGAGTTTGGGGCTTTATTCGTGTGATTTATGGGTTTTGGAACATGGCAACGGTTGAAGCTGTTCCATTAAATTAGGTCCTTTGTTTCAAGTGGAAATTTGCTTCATTTTCACTGGTTTTGTGGGTTATTGCTTGGCTTTCTTTAGTTACACAGAATTAGAAGTCACTGTGCCAGATATTGGTATCGTGGGACTACACGCCGAGAATTTGGGAATTGAGAGTGTTTTGGTGGATGGGGAACCCACTGTGTTTGAGTACTACCCACATCATCAGAATCCTGAAAATGAGAGTAGATGGAGCTCGGTTTCAGACCCTGCTTCTGCTGCTGATGCTGCAACTGTTGAGTACGTTGGAGTTCTTAGGAGAGAGGATACGGAAAATTTACTGATCAACTGTTGCAAGCCTTCCAAGGCTTTGACCGAACAGCTAGAATGTCCGCAATCATCTGGCGAAGCAAAACAGGTTGTTATTGTCATCCTGTATTTAATCTATTCGGGGAATGAGATGGAATGTGTTTAATTTACATGAACAAATTGCTTTAAGGTTGCCGGAAGTACAGATTTGAAGCAATGGTTGTTTTGTTTTGTATCTAGTTTGTTCTTATCATATCTGGCTACTAGATTAGTGTTTCTTCGTAACAGGATTGTGGTTACCAATACATTTTAAACATATTTTCATGTTTCTCTTCATCTTATCACTGTTCTTGTCCGATGATGTGAAAATGATTTTAGGTGTACCAGACTATATGTTCCTGGGACTTGAATTTTTTTTATTTTCTGTGTTCCTGGGACTTGATCAGAGATAAATATCACAAATTATGTGAATGTTTCATATTTATGGTTGAAAGGAACAGAGTAATGCAATGGATATCGCAGTAAACATGGCTTGTTATGTTTTGACGCTCATATGTGCTGCTAATGGTTACAAATTGAGGTTTTTCTTTGTACAATTATTTATGTTGGTTCATCTGGTGCAGAATGTCAAGTTGATTCGTATCAATTACTGGGTAGAGAAAACAGAGTCAGGAGTTCAATTTAACGAGAATATTGTTCATACTGATAACCAATTAAGACGCGCCCGCTGCTGGTTTCCTTGCATAGACGATGAGTACCATCGCTGCAGGTGTTCTTTCTAAACGTAACAATGCTATTACATAGATGATGATTACCTCTACATTTTTATTCACCTTCATTAATCTGGTATCTGATGAATGCAGTTTTGATTTGGAGTTCACAGTTCCACACAATTTTGTGGCTGTGAGTGTTGGAAAATTACTTTACCAGGTAAGCCGGAAAATCTTTTATATGAGATGTAAAGAGGGATTAAAACTTTTTATTCTATTATTATTATGGCAACCAGCTCCTGTTGCAGATTATGTGGTTTTACTTACCGAATAGAAAAATTAGAAAGAAAGCTTTGGGTCTTGTGACCTAAGGATTTTGTCATCAAATGGGTGACAGGGCTCGGAAAAGTTTCCATGATGTCATAATCATATTTTTTTCTCTATTTTCTTGGTCACACAATCTGAAAAGTTAAAAGTTGTGTGAAATTCGTTTACTTTTGTTTCCTTCAGTTTTGTCTTGCCAGTCCTTTGCGCAAGAAGTCTGAGGAAAATCTGTTCCTTTCATTTTCTAATCCTTTTGAGTTGTCATACTCATATAATGTACATTTTATTTTCAGGTAATGTGCAAGGATGATCCTACTCGGAAGACTTATGTATACAAATTAAATTTTCCTATTTCTCCACGGTGGATGTCTTTAGTTGCTGGACCATTTGAAGTCCTTCCAGATCATGGAAATCATTTCATATCTAATGTGTGTCTTCCATCTGATCTTTCGAGGCTTCGTAATACTGTGGAATTTTTCCATGAAGCTTATAGGTTATCAATCTTTTCTTCCTGATTCACTTTGAATTGTTAACTCTTTATCCTTCTACTTTTTATTTACTGGAAATTCCTTTCTACAGCTACTACGAGGACTATCTTAGTGCAGAATTTCCATTTGGATTCTATAAGCAGGTCTTTTTACCTCCTGAAATGGTAGTTTCTTCTTCAAATTGGGGAGCGTCCTTGAGTGTCTTCAGTTCTCAATTGATATATGATGAGAGGGTTATTGATCAGGTACTTTTTTTTGGTAAAAGTCATTTGTGTGGTCAGATGAGTGCGTTTGTTGTCTGAGAGGTTTTTTGATCAGATACTAGCAATTCGTTAGTCAATGTAATATTGAAGCCACTGCATGGCAGGTTTTTTGTTGTGTAGTCGAGGAAGAATTACCATAAACCTAGTTTAAGACAAGACAGCCACATTTTCTGCCTAGTTTCCTGTTAATGTCACAACCTGAGTTTATCTGGTTTTTTCATTGCATCCGTTTAATAAATATGGCTTCTGTTGTAGGAGTGTTCACATTTGTGTTAATTTTTCTGGACAAACTTTTGTCTTGTCAAGTGTCATAATATTAGTCTCTATCACAGCAATGCTGATAGAGTTTTGATTGAGTTTGCAGATTATAGAAACACGCATTAAGCTTGCTTCTGCCCTAGCGAGACAGTGGTTTGGAGTTTATATTACTCCTGAGTCACCAAATGATGGTAGGCCTGTGAAAATTTTACATTCAAATTGTTTCATTGGCATCAGAATAGAACAGGCAGTTCTGTGATAGATGATTTTATATGTTATATTAGAGTGGCTGTTGGATGGTCTTGCTGGTTTCTTGACGGATATGTTTACCAAGAAATTTTTGGGAAATAACGAGGCCCGGTATCGGAGATTCAAGGTTTGTCTTTTTTTAATTATTTTTGAAACATTGAACTGCCTGCACTTTGATAGCCACATAGATGTCGTAGCAATGGTGCCCTGTAATTATATCCCAGTGTGATTAGGATTTGCAAGGTTTTTAATACTGTGCGCAGTCGCTGTTACCGAATGATGATAATATCACTCCTATCTGGAATCTCTTTTGTATCATTCTAAAGTGTTATGTTTTATACTTTTATACAAGTGCAGGCAAATTGTATTGTTTGTAAAGCTGATGATAGTGGTGCAATGTGCTTGAGTTCATCTGCTTCTTGCAAGGACCTATTTGGAACACATTCTATTGGTATGCATGGGAAAATACGGTCATGGAAATCTGTAAGACCTCTTTCTGTATTTCATGAGAATGTCTATGTTTGTCGGGAGAGTTTACCCTTTTCTATATGTATTTGTTATTAAGGATCTTTCCACACTGACTCATTTTTTGAAGGTGGCTGTGCTTCAAATGTTGGAAAAGCAAATGGGTCCTGAATCTTTCCGTAAAGTACGCATCTGGTTGCATCCTTTTCACTAAAGACATTGGACATAGTTTTAATGACTTCGTAATGTACACTTATAGCTTTGTCGGTTATGGATTAGAATATTCTCCGTGCTAACAGTCACATTTACCTTTTAATTACACCCTGTGATTTACAGATTTTGCAGAAAATAGTTTCTCGAGCCAAAGATCCAACTAATGCTATAAGATCCCTTAGCACAAAGGAGGTAATATGACTTCAAATCTAGAAAAGCTGTGCCACCTTATTGCAAGTTAGGTTAGCACAGTGCTGAGGAACTTTCAGTTTCTGAGAGGTGTGCTGTGTCAAAATAGCCAATCTAACATCTGCTTTCTTGGCTTTCGTTATTTTGGGTTATCTTTTAACTGAATGTTTTCCTCGCTCCTGGAGTATTTCTTTTTTAATCCAAAATGGGTTTTAGTTATGCCGCAATGGTAGACAGTCATTGGAGACTATGTTTCTCAATTATCATAATGGTCCATCACTATCAGCTATGATCTGACCAATTCTTCAAGGCCTTGGAAAGAGATCAAACCATCTTCAACAGTTCATAATACATTTGCTGCAAACTTAATTTCAGAAAAGAACACATTCAACTCACAAAAACATCACCTTTCACATCTTTCACTTTTTTACTTCGGCAGCTATCATTATTTGGTTTCATTATATTTCAGTTTCTGGGTTATGCATTTTTCTGATTTGGCTTTTGCGGTGCAGTTCCGGCATTCTGCTAATAAAATTGGGAATCTCGAGCGCCCATTTCTCAAAGAATTTTTCCAGCGATGGGTGGCTTCTTGTGGATGTCCTGTGCTTAGGTATTTAGTGCGTAATTTGAAGTCCTTCCTTCTGAATCTCATATAATGGATGACCAAATCTTCCTTTGATGATGCTATCACCATTTTCTTCTTTGGCATTAATATTCTAGGATCGGATTTTCCTACAACAAAAGGAAAAATATTGTAGAGATGGCAGCATTGCGTGAATGCACAGCTTCACTGGATGCAAGATTGTCAGTTATTAATGCTAATCCTGATTTAGAAAATCGAGACATGGATGTTGGCTGGCCAGGGATAATGAGTATTAGGTTTTATGAACTCGATGTAATGTCAGATCATCCCAAGTTGCCTATGGCTGGAGATAAATGGCAGCTACTGGAACTACCTTGCCACTCGAAACTTGCTGCTAAGCGCTATCAAAAGCCAAAGAAGGGTTTAAAACCGGATATTCTGGATGATAACGTTGATGCTTTAGACAATAGAACAAGGTGAATTGCTGTGATGCATTGTTTTCTTTGTTTCTGGTTGTTTGGAGTCTTCTTGGAACAGAAAGAGAGGAGGAAAATTGATTGGTTTGTATCATTCTCTGCAGCATCGAGTCTCCCTTGTCTTGGATTAGAGCTGACCCTGAAATTGAATATATTGCCGAGGTTCACCTTCATCAACCCCTACAAATGTGGGTAAGAAGTGTGCTTCAGCATTTCTTGAACATCTTTTATGTACATCTTAGTTGTATCCTTTAAAATTTTTAAGTGGGTAGTTATAGCCTTCTTCAAGGTTTGATTGACGACAGTTTTATATTGTTGACTATAATTTTACTTTATTCTCTCACATGAGTCAGTTGTTTCTATCTTTATTTTGAATCAGATCAATCAATTAGAGAAGGATGGAGATGTTGTTGCTCAGGCACAAGCCATTGCTGCGCTTGAAGCTTTACAACATCACCAGTCGTTTTCCATTATGAATGCTCTAAATAATATTCTCATTGAGTCCAAGGTTTTGCCCTTCTCTCTGTACTTAGTTCTGAAAACTAGAGTTGAAGATGAAATTCGGCTTTCCAGGATTTTTTTTTTCTTGTGGCATCTAGGTCTTCTGGAGAATTCGTGTTGAAGCAGCTTTTGCATTGGCTAAAACAGCGTCGGAGGTATGATGTAATAATTTTCGTTTTTCAATCTAAAAGAGGTAGTAGCTCGAGATTGTAAAAACTAAAAAATGCATCTGATATGAGTATTAGCAGAAGACACTGCTAAAAATGGATTAAATTACGAAGCTTATATGCACCAATTCTTTTGTCTTTTTCCATCTGATATGAGTATTAGCAGAAGACACTGCTAAAAATGGATTAAATTACGAAGCTTATATGCACCAATTCTTTTGTCTTTTTCTCTTTTGAATTTTGCTTCTGTTCATCTATTGGCTGTAGAACTCATGCCACCATATTGTCTCTGTTTTGCTGCTAACTATTATCAAAAGAGGCCATTAGCCACCCATAGTCCCATAAACTTAAAATTTAGGAAGAAAAAAAGAACTCTAATCCTAGAAATATGAAGGCCTTTATTGTTTCCTTTTTTCTCCCAATTGTTTTTCACTCGATAATAAATTCACTGCATTTTATATTATTTGTCTTCATGGAAATTCTTTTACCTTCCAAAAGTTGTCATGAACTGCCTTTAGTGCCTTTTTTAAGCAAGTCCTGATGATGAATGATACAGGCTCATTTGTTTATTTTCTAGCAGGAGACTGACTTGGCAGGTTTGCAGCATCTAATCAAATTTTATAAAAGCAGAAGATTTGATGCAGAGATTGGACTCCCCAAGTGAGTCTGAACTATTATATTTTGGCTTATCATTTGTAGGCACTGGCAACTTTTCTCACCAAATTTTTTTTAATGCTCTCAGGCCAAATGATTTCCGTGATTTTCCCGAATATTTTGTCCTTAAGGTAATGAAGTGAAGTAGGGTGTGAGCATGATCTAACAGAATGTTTGGTTAATCACTAATGAAACAGTAATGCTGAACCAAAGATGGGGCATAATAAGCTTCATTTCATGTCCAAAACTTTGAAAAGAGACGTCAGGCAAATTATGTTGTAATTGCATGTTTTACTGTGCTTTGTGTGCTCCTAGGTTTCCCATGATTATTATTCGAAGCTATAGTTTCTGAAGTTGGGTGGGCCATGATTATTATTTAAGGGTCATTTTTTCACTTCTTTTGAAGTCAGTAACCGTTTATTGGTTTAATGGTTTTTGTAGGACCATGTAGTATCACAGTAGGAAGGTATTGTTGCTGTTTTACGTTTTTCATTTGTAAACTGAAATAGTTTTTTTGTTTATTTCCTGCCACAGGCCATTCCACATGCCATTGCAATAGTCAGGGGTGGTGATGGGAAAAGCCCACGAGAAGCTGTCGAATTCATCTTGCAGCTTGTGAAGGTATGCATCTCCTTTGAGAAGCTCCTTTGTTCTGTACATTGAGCTAACTCTGGAATTTGTAAATCCCTTCCCGTAAGAGCTGGTGGTCTTTCTTTCTTGCTCTGAAGCAATTTTATTTTCTTTATGAAAGATGATATTTTTCTTTTCAATTATAACATGCCTTCTTTCCCTCGTATTCAGTTCATATACTATTCCTTACCAGTGATTTTACAGATTCTTTTTTCCCGATATACAGTATAATGACAACAGTGGAAATCCTTATTCTGATGCATTCTGGCTTGCTGAACTTGTTCAGTCGGTTGGCAATCTCGAATTTGGCCAACAGGTTGGTGAATATATCTTGTAGAAGTTACACTATGAGTTGTCGGCAATATTTTCTGCCTGTTATTTCCCCTGTTCTTTTTTCCTCCTTTTTCAGACCTGTTATTCTTTATACTTTGATTTTCTTTTGCCTTTTTCCTTTTGTCATAATTGCGGGTTCAACTGAGGTTGAAGCTGCCTATCGATAAATTCTCATATCTAGAGCCAGTGGGTCCTTTAGAGCAGTTCCTTCCAACCGTGGTCGTAATATCAACTTCCATTAGACTTACATGATTATAAAAAGAGCCTTCTGAGGATTCTTTATATGAGATTGTTTTTCTATAAGCGGCATCTACAAGCTCAGCTCAAATTTTAGCTGCCAAAGGATTTAGAATCTTTTTGGTTTTTTGCGATTTAATGATGTGACAATTTTATGAGCTTGAAACTAAATGCTGTGGCCATGGCAGATGATTTTATGAGAAACTTTTTTGGCGTTGACTTCATCCATATTCATTGTACAGTTAAAGATGCAAATCCAGTGCTTCAATCGTCGCTGCCCATGTTTCCTTGCTCTTAATACTTGGCTTTTCATTTGCTTTGTGACAGACACTGACATTTTTGGCTCCTCTTCTGAAGCGCATCGATAGAATTTTGCAGTTTGACCGGTAAGCTGTCGTGTGATGTTTATACTTTGATTGATTTTGTGCAATTGTTGAATTAATAGAATGCTGCTGGCGACAAATTTGCCAGGCTGATGCCTAGTTACAATGGAATCTTAACAATTAGCTGCATCCGGACATTGGCACAGATTGCACTGAATCTGTCTGACTTCATCAATCTTGTAAGTTTTTCTTCTTCTTATTTTCCATGTTTTGCATCCCTCGAAACATAGCATTAACATCTTACTTTTTGCTGCCTTTAGGAAGATGTCTGTAAACTTATTGAACCATTCCAGAATTTCGGTATTCTATTGCAAGTTCGTATGGAAGCAAGCAGGGCACTTTTAAACATTGAGTACCACTCCAGAGGCATAAGTTCTGCACTAACTTTGTTTAAAAAATATGTGGTGGAAGAGCCATCTTTGAGAGGTTTTTACCATTCTCTCTTTGCTGGATACACCTTCTATCTGTTTCTTCTGAATTTTTGTTCGCTTCAAATTATGTTTTTGTCTCTTGGTTCCAGGGCAGGTGAAGTTGTGCATACACGCTATGCGGTTATGTCAAATAGCAGTTGGACCTGATTCAGATGAAAATGTTGACTCTGTTAGTCTGCTGGGTTTGCTGCAGTTGCTTGAAAGTCGGGTAGCATTCAACAATGAATTTTTTCGTCACCACTTGTTCTGCATCTTCCAAATCCTCGCTGGAAGGTTGGTGGCCGTTATTTTGTTTATGTCAGTTCATTTACAAGTTCTCATATTCGTGTGGCCTATTGGTGTCCACTTTCTTTTTTAGCAGTGGTTAAACGAGCTTGCCTTGTTAGTTGTTATAGATTTAGATGTTGTTGAAACCAAGAGGTCTCTTAAGTAGAAAATATCACAAAGGACACATATCATTGTCTCCTTTCCCTTATGTCTGGTGTTTTCCTTTCCTGGGTTTTACATTCGGATGAATGATTGGTCCATCTTTTGAGAACAAGTATTACTGAGTAATGAGTCTTCATGACACACGGATTTTTTTCAAGATACGATGAAAACTTTCTTTCTGCCTCTGGTTTTGTGTATGATGAATCTTAGTTGGCAAGCTTTTAAATTCTCTTTTCGTTTTTAGCATCTACAGAATCTTATTTTACTCCTTTTGAGGCATCATCTATACCAATATTGTACACACAGTGTACTTACTAGTATCTCATTTTCAGACCCCCGACATTGTTTGGAGTGCCCAAGGAAAAATCTTTACAGCTTGTTGTTATGGAAACCTGCATCGAGCCAAAAAGTATCTTTGCTGTTCCTGCTCCTGAGATTGGTGACACAGCACCTTTGGCAATTGCAGATACCGAAGGGAAATCGTTGGATCTTGCTGCTTTTGGTTTTGCGATGAGACCACCAGATCTAACGGTGGCTGTTGTTCCTGAAATTAAGCTGCCAGAATCAGTTGTAGTTTCATGTTCTGACATTCAGCAACTGGGACCTCCTATGGAAAATCGCGACCAGCCTTTGCGTGACAGGCCCATTACTCTTGAAGTACCATCCACAGTGGAAGCACCGACAGAAGAAATTGCCCAAAGGGAACCAGTTGCCTCAAAGGAACCCGATCTGGCCTCTGTATCTGTTAGTCATGAAATCAAGAAGCCTGTTATTAGGATTAGGGTTAGACCATCTGGTGCAACTAGTAGAGCCGAGGTTGAAGGAAGATCTGTGGACAGATCTCAGGGGGTAATGCGCCATGATATGGATCGGGGAGCAACTAGTTCGGCTTCTGTAGACGCTCCACAGAGAATTTCCGCTGACGCTGTGAGCGCCAGCAATCAGAATAATCTGGAAGAAGTGAACTCCTCACATGATCTCGGGTCTCGCATGACTGCTAGCATCGGTAGTGTAAAGCTTGCTGGTGAAGGAGATAATTTTGGGAAAGAATTGCAGTGCACTGCTGAGTCAGGGAAATACTCTGCAAGCCTTAAGCCGGGTAACCAGTTACTGTCATTGGAGCATAATATGGACCCTGAAGCACAGAAATACGCAAGCCTTCAAACATTGTCGTCTGGTAAAGAAAAGGAGAAGAAGAAAGACAAGGAAAAGAAAGAGAGAGAGAAGAAGAGGAAGCGGAAAGACCCTGAGTATATAGAGAAGAAGCGACTAAAGAAAGAGAAGAAGCAGAAGGAGAAGGAGTTGGCTAAGCTTATGTCAAGCTCTTCAACTCTACCGACAAAGAGGACGGACCATATTGGTAGCAATAGAGAGACAGCTGAGACTAAAGCAGAGGAACAGAGTGGGGTCATAGTAGCAAAGAAGGTGGAGACAAAGCCCGAGCCATCATCATCAGAAGCTCGTCCGCCTTCCAGATTCCGAATCAAACTAAAAAGCAAAGCATTGAACAACACATAAGGTATATTACTTATTAGCCCCAGTCTCTGCTTTCCTTTTTTCCGTATCTTCTCGTGTTTTTTTGCTTTCCACATATGAGAACTGAAACCCGAATCTGCGAATCTATTAGAGTAGGATTTACGCTCGAGTTCTTGATACTGGTCTCATTCTCGATGTGTTTGGATGAATACCTCGTGGCTTTGTCACTCTCTCTTGCCTCTCAATGTTGCTGGAAGCAGATCCATCATTTAAGCTTCCAAATCTCTCTCCCAAAAATTGATTTGCGATGGTTTTTGTGATATTGGGAACGCAATTCTTGGATCCTTCAGACATATATATATATGTATGTATATCCACATGTATATATGTTTGTGTATGTGTGCGTGGAGTTCTTGATGTGTAACTTATTCTTTTTTCTTCAAAAAAAAAAAAAGAGAGGAGGAATCTTGGATTTGAGGATGTTGAGTGTCCATTGGTAGTTTGTCAGAAGTTCCTGGAACGATTCTTGTTGTTATCCTTTCACTATGCACGCATGTTGGTTCATTAATTTATTATTGCAAGAACCTCTTTTTATTATATTGTTACTACTATTATTGAAATGCTTAACACGTTTCTATATTTATGATATATTAAACGATGCATAATATCCGTTTAATGTTTATGATTAAATGCTTTCTGGATTGTTCGTGAATCTCTCTCGTGTAATAATTGTTAGCAAAACAGTGCCAAATTCCCACATGCAAATCCATATGTTTTTAACTGTAACTCCAAAATTCTGGCTTTTCTTTTTCTTGTTTTGATTTCGAAATACAATGTCTGTTATCATTTGACTCAATGTTAATGATGAACACTTTTTTTTATCCATTACATGTTTGATTTGACCATATATATATATATATATGTATATGTTTGGTGTTTTTTGAAAAAGATTTATGAGAATGGGACCCTTTTCACTAAATCGTTTGGATTAGGGCCGCCCACTTGCTTGCCAAAATTGATTATAAAAGAAGCTAAAGAAAATCATAAAACATATTATGATTTTATCATGTTTCACCTAAAAACCAGCACTTCAGAAGAATATTATTATTTTCGGATTCATTCGAATACATTATAACTTTTGATGATATATGGGAGTTATATATCATCTCAAAATGTGTTGCATATACATAATATACCATATATATGCGTGTGTGTTTCTCATGATGTCATGGATATCTTATGCAGGTGGTCTATTAGATCCGCTTTCACATGAAAAATATCGGTTTTCTACAATCGCCAAAAAAATCTGTTGGAAGAAAATATCATATAAAAAAAAAACACAGAAAGATTTATTTAAACCATTAAATTGTGATTGGATGATGAAGGTGACGTGTAGCGCGCTTGTGTTGCTCGACATGGCTTGCTGCCAAAGTTTCTGAAGATACATAGTGACGGAATGACGCGTATTTTATTTTTTTTTCCGTAATTAAAAATAAAAAAACAGACGTAGTGCGTTTGTATTTTAGCTAATAAATAAATTAAATTAAAAAACCGACGATGAACAGAAGGAGAGAGAGAGAGAGATGGAGAAGAAGGAGCTGGGAACATTTTTCGAATGGCGTAATCTCTGACCTACCGTCTTTTGACGAAAGCGAAGAAAAGCAGATTCTCGGAGAGATGCAGACACAGAGAGGATTAGAAATAGAAACCCTTCTTCTGTAGAGAGAGAGAGAGAGAGGGAGAGAGGATGAGTTGTCGGAGAGTGCTGAAGTCCGTGCAGGCCCTGGCGGCTCACAGCTTGCTCTTCTCTTTCACGCTCTTGTTGGTGCTCAAGCTCGATCACACCGCCTCTTACTCTTGGTGGTCTGTGTTTTCTCTCTCTCTCTCTCTCTCTCTCTCTCTGTGTCTCTCTCCCTTTTTTGCCTTCGTACATGACCGAATCGTCTGATTTTCGTACGTTTTCTGAGGGCATGCATCAAAATTTGTTTTAGGGTTTGGAATTCTCCCAATCTTTGGTCTGTCTCAATTCATAGAATCGGAATTCGAGGTTCGAAATGAGATCCTTTCTTTCCGTTGAATTTCTTAAAGCTTAGATATTTGGAGAAATTCGCGGCTTTAATCATAGAAGTATCAGGTTTTGCTTCCCTGTGGGATCTGCTATCCTATGGAAGCTCAATTTTTCCGCCAGAATGTTGAAAATTGGTTATTGGCCACGAAATTTTTGATCCCTTGTACCAATTGGGGATTAATGCTCGTATAGTCAAGGAAATTACGTTAATAATTTCTAGTTAATAAAAATCACGTTTTTAGGCAATTTTAGGTATGCGCTATTGTGTAGAAGAAAACTTTAGGTTGCACCCTTCAGTGCCATGTACATACAATGTATTGGCTTTTGCGAAATTCTTGTGTAGCCTCAGTGTAATTAAAAAAAAAACTTGAATATGTATGGTGGCGGTATCATGTGTGACTACTAGGGTAGAGTGGCCTTCCAGGTTGTCTACATGCCTCGATGGCTGAGTTTCAAAGAATATATGATCTATGGAAGTCAATAACGTGGATAATAAGGGATTGCATATTCCTTATCGCTTACATTATCAGAATCAAGGGTGAAAAGAGGATTACAGTACAATCTTAATGATAGATTTTGCTGTTTTACTGATTCGGTTATGCAGGGCGATATTTCTTCCTCTTTGGGTATTCCATGCCGTTGTTGCAAGGGGAAGATTCTCGCTTCCTGCTCCGGCAGCTCCGCGTAACCGTCATGTATGTCTGTTACGTTTTGTTTACCATCTTTAGCACAATATACCCAACCCAACTTATTTTCATGAATTTCCAGCAAATGGTGACTATATAATTTGATATCTGGTTCATAACCATTACATACTATATGACATTTCGGCATATAATTATTCTTTTTGGTGTACAGTGGGCACCATGCCATGCTATTGTGGCGACACCATTGCTTGTAGCATTCGAATTGCTGCTCTGTATATTCCTCGAGAGTGTAAATGGTATATAACTGGCACCTACTGACCGTATCATAATTCAGGGAATTGTTTGGTGGTGTTTGAAAGCTCTTATAATCTATTTAATATGGTTTGGTAGGAAATAAGTTTAAGTAGTTTTGAGTCTGTTGTGTTTTTTGGCAAGTCTCTTGATGTTGTATTAACAGGTGCTTTTGTTTCCTCTCACTTTAATCTCTTTTGTCCTCTTCTATGTCAATACAGTACACGGGTTGCCAGCTGTGAATTTAAAGATCGTTTTCCTTCCGCTGTTGGCATTTGAACTAACTATACTGGTGGACAATTTCAGGTATCCAGATATTGAATGTACATCATCTAATTATTTCATTCCGTTAGTTCATCTAAAGCCATTTGCAATACAAATACATTTGCTCTTTGGTCTAGCAAGTCCTAATACATGTGGGCTTTCGAAAAGGTTAAATGTGATGACCCCATGATGCTTCTCTAGTTTTGAACATTTCTGGAACTGCTTTAAGGATTTAGTCTACTTCTTTTTATGTCTCTACTTACTGTGTTTTTCTCAGAATGTGCAAGGCATTGATGCCTGGAGATGATGAAAGCATGAACGATGAAGCAATATGGGATGCACTTCCTGTAAGTTTACTAGCTGTACTTGTTACATTTTGGCTGCTTTAAGGCCTCAGCATACTTTTTGTAGAAATTGGTTTAATGTCTGGCATGTGCTCTTTGTCCTATTCATTTTCAAATGCCTAATCCGTGTGTGCCTTTCTAGATTTTGGTTAACCTTTTGTGTGATTTAAAGTTCACAATTTTTATTTGTATTCCACTTTGTTCTCGTAGAAAACTAGATTTACTTAGAATCATTTCCAAAGGATCTTATTTACTTGAATCAGGAATTCTTAAGGCCAAACTTAGACGATAAAGTGAAGTAGTAGACGTCAGGTGGTAAATAGCATATACTTATGGCAATCTTCTTCGACTTGATTTTTTGTATTAATTAAAGTTCAGTATGAAACCAAACTCTAGCTAAGCTGGTATTACCAAACAGGACTTGCTTTCTCTGGTTGAAGTGTATGTATAACTTTATTAAGATTTCTGAATGCTCCGAAGAAATCACAAGACTGATGTGATTGGGTTACATGAATTTTAAATAGTTAGCTGGGATAGTGTTCTGTGGTTCCTTTTTTTTTTGCTAAAATTTGTATGTTTTATGGTTTCAGAAGCTTTTTTTTATTCGGTGGTGAGGAGCTGCTAATAGAAATAAACATTTCAGATGGGGTTTTGGTTTTTGTCTGCAGCATTTCTGGGTTGCGGTTTCCATGGTGTTCTTGGTGGCTGCCACAGTCTTTACCCTCCTTAAGCTGTCTGGTAACTGCTTGACTCTGGAATGCTTGATGAAATTGCTTTCTAAATGTCGATCGAGTATATTACTTTATCTAGGACATCTTGGACACTAGATGGAATTGACCGTCATGTTTCTTGCAGAACGTTGTTCTATCTATTGAAAATAATAATTGGAAAACTTCCTCAGGAAATTAAAAATGTGGAGTCATCCAGTGAAGATCATTGTAAACGTGGCTTATACAAATTCATGAATCTAATTGCACGGGGGTACTGTAGAAATGTTACAATACTCTATGGGACTGCCCTTCTTCATTAACGGAATAAAGTCATAGATAGTTTCTGATACTGGAAAACTATGAGATATTACACGTTTCTTGTAATGATTGGTTAAGCTCATTGTATGGAGTCCACTTGTATACTATACACACACACACACATACACACAGAGTTGACTTGCAACGTCTCTCGTACGTTGAGAAATAGCTTATTCCATTTGTGGCATTCACTATGTCGATAATGCCATATCTTTTAGCTTATTCAAATCATATCACCCATGATTGTGTAATTCAGTTTTTGAATGTTGTTGATGTTCCTTCATTTCAACTTCTTCTAACTGGGTTATTATTCTTCATGCTTTTAATTTACATCACACAGGCGATGTACCTGCACTGGGCTGGTGGGATTTATTCATAAATTTTGGGTATGCTTTTTCTTGTTGTTTTTCTATCTAGAAGTGCCTGCCCTTATGAGGTTGATCGAAATGATCAGGAAGGTAATGTTGTGTACCCTTTTGCCTGCAGAATTGCTGAGTGCTTTGCTTTTCTTGTTTGTACAAAATGGTCCAATCCAGTAATCCATAGAAGCTCATGTATCAGAGAAACCGGGTCTTCTTCTACCAGTAATAGATATCTTGACTGGAACAGCGGCCTTGTTGTTGCTTCAGAAGAGGATGGGCACCAAGATAGAATTTGTGGCCCTCAAGACATTGGTGGCCATATTATGAAAGTTCCTCTTGTCGTATTTCAAGTTCTCCTTTGCATGTATCTAGAGGTACAAAATATGTCACTAATATCACCGTTGCAGTTTTTGGCCTTTATTAAAAACGTTATAATGATTTCTACTTTCAGGGGACTCCTCAAAGTGCCAAATATATACCCCTTCCGGTCCTGTTCTGTCCACTTTTCCTGTTGCAAGGTGCTGGTGTCCTATTTGCTGTATCTAAACTAATTGAGAAAGTTATTCTCCTTCTTCGGGGCGAAACTGGTTCAGGACTGTATTTTAGATTTTCTTCAAGAGCCCATGATTGCTTGGGCTTCTTGCACCATGGGTCAAGGTGATAACTGTTTTATTTCCATTTTCTCTGATTTTAGTTGGTTAAAATTTCTGGAGGAAAAAGCATCCTATAACTCAAGTTACTCAATTGCGGTTACTGAGTCACTAATACAATAACATGACGAGGAGTAACCTTGCATTTGTTGCTCTACCTGGTCAGGCTACTAGGTTGGTGGTCAATTGATGAAGTAAGCTGTGAGGATCAGGCTCGACTGTACTTTGATCAAGACTCTGGGTTAGTATAATTAAATCCTTCTATACAGTCAACCGGAAAAATGATTTACTATTTGAAGTATTGCGCATTCCTTGATTCTTTGCTCTTAAAATAATCAAAGTCATTTTCTTTGTCAAAGTCTATCCTTTTTGCCTGTGTATGAGAGCAGATAACATAGTGAGCTTATCTGCATATTGTCGCAATATAAATCAGAGTTTCAGTTGTGATAAACCTAGAAGATGCACGGTGTTTTTTCTCCAACATTTTGATACGAAGGAAAAACTAGAGAACTTGGATAAATTGTCCCTTGGCAAAGCCGAGTGCAATGTATTCTGCTATAAAGAACTAATCTCCTAGTCTCGCAACGGAAAGGCTGGTTATAAAACCACAAATCTAGCTACTAAATTGTTATCAAATATTTTCCCTCTTGAGAATCTGCTTATCACTCTAACTCTGTGAGTCACCCTAGTTGTTTTCCTCTTGTGTGTTCAGTGATGGAGTGACTATTTGCTCTGCAGATATAGTGCTATCAACTCAAGCTGAAGTGAAATTATAGCAACGATGTGTTTTATATTATTGAACCTGCTGAAGACTTCATGATATATTTGACATGTATGCGTGCAGTTACAATACTTTCTGTGGTCACCCGCCTGAGATAGTGAAGAAAATGCCAAAGAAAGATCTTGCTGAGGAGGTGATTTCAGTTCTTTTGCTCTTATGCTTTATTTTTATTTCCAACTCTATACTGTTATCTCTGTTTTTTCCTTCATTTGTATTTCAATTATATTCTCTTTGTTGTCAAGTCATCTGTCCTCTGGATTCATTATTGCTAAGTGTTGTTAGCTTAGCTTTACCGCATTTACTCTGATCAGGTGTGGAGACTGCAAGCAGCACTTGGTGAACAGACAGAAATCACCAAATTTAGCCAGCAGGAGTACGAACGACTGCAAAATGTAACGTTTGCTTCTCTCCGTGACATTTTTTTCATAATGCCGTGGCAAATTTTTTTTTTCTTTTTTCATAGCTAAAGCCTTTGTTCCTCGGTTCTGAACATGTTTCGGTGTACTGTTCAGGAGAAAGTACTATGTAGGGTTTGTTTTGAGGCGGAAATCAGCGTGGTACTGCTTCCATGTAGGCATCGTGTCCTCTGCAGGTATGTTATCTGTGCATTTACCTTTTCTTACAAGCTAGGAGTGGTGACAGTTAGAATTTGGGTTCGACCGGCATATCAGGCATTTTTCTGCTGCTGTCATTTAGCATAGTAACTTAGCCCAGGGGATAATTCTGAGACATGGGGTAACACGTAAGGGAGTTTCTTGACAGTTTTGAATCTGGAAAACGATTCTTACTTTGAGTCACATTCCCTCGAGTTCGACTCTCGTAATATTTTCACGACCTGCTGTCATGTCTCGTTTTCCAGAAACTGTTCAGACAAGTGTAAGAAGAAGTGCCCAATCTGCCGTGTGGGCATCCAGGAACGACTCCCTGTATATGATGTTTAACGTCTAACTTCCTCCGATCTCTTCGGGTGGAATTGTAAAGAGGTGTGATACACTCCTTTTACTCGCGTCTTTCGCGGGTTTTTTTTCTTCTTCTTCCGGTCTCTGAATGCTGATGAATCAGTTTATTTTGTCTTGTCTGAATCAGCATAAAAAAAATACAGCATGACTATGATGCTGTTTTATAAAGGAAAAAGGAGTATAGGTGGAAGTGTAGGTCCAACAGAAGTCAGTTGTATAAGATCTGTCTTGCATGCAAACCTGTGGTAGCAATTAGGTTTGTATATCTGTAATTCCCTTTCCCCTTTCCTCTTTAAGAGTTTTTTTTTTTTTTTTTTTTTTGAGTTTTGGTTTCTATTTTTATCTAATTCATTAGCTGTTTGATGTAGTTTGGGCATATGGGCAAACGTGTATCTTGGTCACTTGGTCCTAAAATCCATTTTCACTATTGTTGGCTTTGGATATCAAAAATCGAATTTTATAACATTTTAGAACCCCGACCGTTTAAAAAAAAATCGACCTTTTCAGTGTCTGACAACTCAAAAAGATTCGAGGGTCAAACCAATGTTTTTTTATAGAATGAAATGTAAAAATCACATTCACAGGATACATAACAAATCAATATGCCCTATTCACATATCGTTTTATATAACAGTCGAGCTCGGTACAATAACATGTATTCATCACAAACGGTATCATCAGGTTCCCGGAAAATGAAACGAAACCGAAACTCTCTTACCAAGAAAGAGACTTAGGACTCCCCCTTTGTAGAACAAATAATACAAAAAGTACGGAATTATCGATCTATATGTGTGTCTGGACGGGCGATTTGATCGATTATACGTTTTGAAATTGAGGTAAAATCCGTTAGTCATGCGAACAAAGAAGCATGGCAACGCATCTCCTGATGATGTAAAGCCTTGCCCTTTCTTCCTTGAGGAACTCACCAAATGCTCTACATGAAAACCTTCTTCTCGAAGACACGAGCTTTGTCTCTCCTCTTCTTAATTGATACGGGTGATGAAGCATCATCTCTTGCTCCTTTTATGAAACTCCTCTTAATTTGTTGCAGAGGACAAAAAACAAAGTAATTACAGAGAAAGAAAAGAAGATTCCTATAAGAGCCAATTCACAATGTTTTCTCCCGTATTTATACGCAAGAAGAAGAGGGTACGGCGAGTTTATGATCGTTATTTGTTCCGTATTTCTGACCATTAGATTTACTGTCAGTACGTGATTCTTCAGTCTCATTCATGTCTTTGCATATAATTTAGGAAAAACAAAAGGTACAAAAAAATATATATAAAAAATGTGTGATAATTTGGACGAATGACAAGTACAAAACAAACTTCGTTGTGTTGGACACAACCAGTTATATCCTCCTACCTTTTATTTTGCCTCATTTATCTTCATGATCGTCTGGACCAATTAAAACACTAACTAATTACAAGGCTGGAAGCCAACCAAATGATTTAGAATAGATGCTTTCTCTCTAAATTTGAGGTTCGAATTCGGGGTAAAATAGACGTTTTGCGCTCATTTCACCGGTTGAACTACCAATTTTGGGTTATCTTCATGATGTTCACTTAACGATATAGTAACTTAGGGGTCATGCTTGAAGGTACACAACTAATCCAATGTAAAAACATTTGGAGTGTCTTTTTTTACATTATAATCAATTGGGTCTATCAAATGATGTGATTCCAATGCGATACAACATTTATTATTACTATTATTGTTATTATTATTATTACTATTATTACTATGATAGTGTTGAAATGAGGAAATAAATATATATTTAAGAAGATTGAAATTGGTTAGAAATGATTATGAGGATGATTGAGAGAAATTAAAGATACAAAATCAATTAACAAATAATGATAATTGTGTCAATTATCTCTTAATTTATTTGTTTCCATCATATATTATTTCTTTGTAAATTTCTTTCTTTAGTTATTTTATAGTTGTTTCTTATAAATAGATGAGTTATTCTCATTGTAAAATAACAAGAAGAAGAGATGTACTAATAAAAGTGTTCTTTATTTTATTTTTCTCTTCTATTCTCTCTTTTTAATTTCCGCATTTTATTTTTCAATATGGTATCAGAGCAGCGTTACGATCTAATCTATATATTTTCTTAGTTTTTATTTTCTACTCTCTTTATTTTTGAGTTCTTAATATTCATATATCCAAATATCCAAGTGGTTTGAAGTGAAGCAAAATCCAGAATCAAACGAGGTGCTATGACAAAAGGAATCAAAGCCACAAAAAGCTTCAAGATCAAGCGAAGTGCTATGACAAAAGGAGATAAAGGCAGAATTCCATGATCAAACGAACTGATTTGAAGATGGATCAAAACTCTCAAGAACCTGATTGGTATCTATGGATCATTTTATTAACAATGAATTACTCATCGAGTTTTTGAATTATTTCAGGTATTCTTTCCAAGATTGACTTTTTGCATTATCTCTAAGTCAATCTTGAGAGGGAATGTTGAAATGAGGAAACAAATATATATTTAAGAAGATTGAAATTGGTTAGAAATGATTATGAGGATGATTGAGAGAAATTAAAGATACAAAATCAATTAACAAATAATGATAATTGTGTCAATTATCTCTTAATTTATTTGTTTCCATCATATATTATTTCTTTGTAAAATTCTTTCTTTAATTATTTTATAGTTGTTTCTTATAAATAGATGAGTTATACTCATTGTAAAATAACAAGAAGAAGAGATGTAGTAATAAAAGTGTTCTTTATTTTATTTTTCTCTTCTATTCTCTCTTTTTAATTTCCGCATTTTATTTTTAATAGATATACCATATCATATCGAATTTGTTTGTATCTCCAAAATATTTAGGTATAATTTCGATCATAACAGTATATTTTCTATTTTTCGTGTTTTCATGAAATGAATGATAACAACATGGTTATACTAGGGAGTAAGAATCCACATCCACACGAAAATTGTGGCTGTAGTAGAGATATAATAAATAGACAATTTCGGACATAAGTATAAAAATTTTAAGAAAGAAACTAAAGGAAGGTTTTTTTATATAGGAAAATTGAGATTCATGTATAGTTTTCAGTCACAATATATATATATATGATTTTTCTTTGTTGCTCTTTTGGCCCCCTATCCATTGTCCTATCCATTGTATATGGATATTATCAATCTCTTCTATCTCTCTCTTTTTCTTGAACTTTTTTTTGTTTATAACATTGGGAAATCTCTATCCTACAATTCTTCGAACCGGATTTTAATCTTTTTTTTTATCATATCAAAGTAAAAACATAAAAATTTAAAAGAGGGTTTGCAAAAGCCAATTCCGATATTTTTTTTCATAATAAAACTATGGTAACGACAAATAAAGCTTAATGCATCGTTGAACCCTACCCATGTTCGAACCCCACTCTTGGCAAATCACATATTATAAAAAAAACCCATTGAATAAAATGTGAGGGAAAAAAAAGTTTTCCCGAATAAATGTGGGAGTATATATGTTTCCAAAGGCAATGGCTCCATGTTGATTGAAAAGTAACACGAAACAGAAAACATTAGCTGGTTTGGTTTCATCATTTGTAGGGCATTGGGGCATCGGTGCACGTGAAATTCACGTGACTTGCATGGTGCATGTCTCGTCTAAAGGGGACGAGCTCTCTCTCTAGGGTTTTATTTTATTCATATATTATATACACACATATATATAGCCCTAGAAAGTAGAAAGGGCGAGTTTACTTCTTTTAACAGAAGAAAATATTGGCCTTATAGCCACGGAATTTTCCTTGTTCGGTTCCTTTTCAATTCATGTGTTATTCTTCTAGTACGGAACCGTTGATATATAACCACATGAAAATAAATATGATATATCAATTTATAACACATGAATTATATAGTTCATGAGAAATTGTTGCCATCGATCGCTGCTACATTCGACAAGTCTCATTCGGGAGGTATTCTCTCTTCGATGACTACACATACATAATACACACTTTGAAATCAAAACATATATAGAATTTTTTTATTTTAATTTTTATTTGAGGTGGATCCATTTTTTTGTGTCTTTTTTCTTTTTGCACTTTTTCGGTGCTACCAACCAACCAAACTGGATGTTGTTATGTTTATTTAGTCCACCACTTATTATGAGGATATAAATATACACACAATTATCCCAACTCGTTATAAAAAAAAAAAGCAATTTCAATAACGAATAATAATAAAATGCATTTAAAAATATAGTATGGTCAAATATCTCTGAAAGACATTAAAATTTTTTATTTAAAAAAAAAACCCACAAGGTTTCAGACCCTCTCCTCTCCTCTCACCATACAATCAAAAGCTATAGTCTCCCACACAAGCGCTGCATATTACCAAATGGGTTTCATATATATATATGTATATATATATATGCTAAGTAAAACTTGAACCCTTGCACTAAAATTTCACCAGGAGACCTGATTCACATCACATATATGTACACTAGCCTTCAGACACAACACGACGATGATCAGTGTTCACAGCCCTTCCTTCTTCTTCTTCAACTTCATGCCCTTTTGACTGCTCTGTCTCTTTCCGACAGGCATCGGTTCCACCAGCAACAACCTCGACATAACGTAGGCTAGCAGCTCTTCGCGGTGGGAGAACGTGAAATCCAGATGCGCGTACTCGAACTCGTTGTACGACACATCGACCCCTGCCTCATTCATCAGCCTGTAATGCCTTCGTACCATCGATGGACGGATCACCCTGTCCTTCCGACCAGCTACCAGGTCCACAGGCACGTCGATGAACCCGTAATACTCTCCTAGGTCCAGCGGTTCGGGGGACCCGTAAATCTCCATGTTGGTCGACGGGCTCCCGTAATCGAACATCCTGAACCTTCCGCTGTGCTTCATCTGGGCGAGATGCTGAGCCACCCGGAAAGAGACAGCAGGCATGTCGTTCATGTTGTAATGAGGCAAACCCAAGACCCCGACCCAGTCCGAGCTGTCCCCGCCGACAACGTAACTCATCAGAGTCTGGACGAGCCCACCAACAGCGGGGTAGTTATGGAAGTCCCGGGCTAGTTTGTTCAAAAGCATCCGGAAGAATCTCGTAGGGATATAGAAGGCAGGCACGAGACGGGCTAATATGGGGCTAAAGAAGAGGAATATGTATTCGATCAACATGAAGACGAAGTTCGAGTCATCATGAAACCCGGCAGGCGAGAGCAAGATTAGCCTCGAGAGTCGGTGTGGCTTCTCTTCGATTCTGCGTGTAATAACGTACATCAGAATCCCAGCCCCGCCTAGACTGTGACAGATCGCACAGAGTTTATATGGTTGCTCCTCGTTCACTTCCTCGTCGGCATTAGATTGGCAGAGCTTGAGTTCCGCAGTTTTGATTTCGTGGATTTTCTCTATCATTGCAGGGATATCCTCAATTCCGTGCTCGTTGATGGAGTACCGCCAGTATCTGCAACATAACATTTTCCGCTAAACATGTTTCACTCGTCAATAATAAACAAACTATACAAGAAATGGCATCCATAAGCATTTTATGAAGCATTTCATTTCAGAAGACAGAAAAAACGAGGAAGTGAACTTCAAATTCAGAACTCACTCTCTCGAGGATATGTTTTTGTCGACATGTTCTCTCGAAACCAAACCCCGAAAGTTCCCGAGGAAAACGTCATAGCCTGTCAAAAAACAAAGGGCAGAGTACGACAATTCTTGCAACATATGAAGAATAAAGATTAACTGAAAAAAAAATTGGAAGGAGTAGAGGCACATACCTTGGTCGTATGCAGCAAAGGCAGGAGATCCAACAACCCCATTAGACACCCACCTGACGACGAAAAACGATTAAGAAACGAGAAAATAATGTTCTTTACTCACGAAAACGTACAGAAAATTGCTCGATTAATTATGAGACAGCCCATACACGAGGTAAACGAGGTGTTCTATACAAGCTAAAATGAAAGAAGGCGGCATATCGCCTTTTTCTAATACCACCAAAGATATTGCCAAAGTCGTAAACTATTCTTATGTCCAAATCAAACACACAAGCAAACAAATGAAGGCAAACTTAAACCTTTAGTCATTCGTCTTTAGAAGAACAGACTATGCAAAGAATTTCGCCTTTGAGATTTAGAAGAAGCAAGCCGGCAAATGTGTTTGCGTGCACATATGCTATGAACCCAAGATTAAAAAGTAAAACTTGGAATGAACCATATGATGAAACTCACCCCATGGAAGAATCCAAAACCCCATGCTGCAAATAGACAGCTTTCCGCGCATCTCGTCTGCAAAAACATGAAGAGAAAGCAATGATGACATGCTCAAAGAGAAAGTGAAACAGATTATGATTCACGGAGGCAAGATAAAAGAAACAAATAAGCCACATTGAAATACCTCGGTATCCTTTCCAAGAGAAGCACGTATCCATCAGAGGTTATAACATGGATAGCTTCATATGGGTACCTATATTATGATTAGAAAATTTAATAAACTTACCCAAAAGATCAAATTGAGAAATAAAAGGAAAAAAAAGAACGTAACATCTAAACTGCCCTACCCTAGCTCTGTTATGACGTCTTTACACGTCCGAGTATCTGTGTTCATAGAGTTGTATAAGCTTGTGGTCCTTTCTGTAGGAGATGGATTACTCTCTCCGAGAGTGGCAGTCTGTACAGTTTCGTCATCTGAATCGTCATCATAGGCTCCTTTAGGACTGCTACTAGGAGAAGAGAACCATGAAAACACTATTCTACAAGCTTCTGATGGAGAAAGAATAAGATGAGCAGCCTTGTGGAAAAAATCGAAGATTGTCTCTATGAAGATCTCTATAGCAAGATGAAGATCCTGCAAAGCATATGAAGCATGAAGAGGAGTTAAAAGAAAAATAAGGACAACGAAAATAATAGATATTAGTAAGCACACCCACAAACCTCAATTACTCCGCGTCTTCTATCAGTAGTCCGATTAGGGACATGATGCTCTTTCGCTGAGTTCGTTTTGCTAAAACCCGTTCTCGAAGAATGGCGGTTCCTCCCGGGACTCATAGGCGTTCTTGAACTGCGCCTATAGAGTAGCTGCAACATATATAAGGGTATCCATAGCATTATTCGAGCAGGCAGTAAGAGCCACCAGAGTATTGAGGTAATCCAATCAGTCCAATGGCTTTCATAATTCGCAGAAATACTAGCCCACGAGAGACGTGAGCTATGAGATGATGGTGATGCAGGATACATGCCATCACTATCTTCCCCAGAAGAATAATCCAAGCTTGAAGTATCAGAATCCACAGAGAGCTCGTGGATGAACTGGTTGAAGGAAGAGACCCCACTGCAAAAAACACAGAAACAAGAAGAGAATACCATTAAGGGAATCACTACACGGGTCAAAAATCTATAAACGAAGATATATCATCAAAGGATTCAGGAATTTTACTTATGCATCCACCGGGGAAAACGCGGTCCACGAAATGTAGGCCTGAGTTCCCATCCATGAAGTCCTTCGAGAATGTTAGCCTTGCCCGGGAGAATGGTCAAGAGAAGTGCAGAAGCTCCATTTATGAATCTAGCGATGTTGTTCAACCATTCGTATGTCAGAGTTTTCACTGACCTGCACTAAAAGCCAAAATCCGATCAAATGCGTAGTTAGCTTACGTCTTTAGGACAGGAGAAGCCAAAACGAACATCCTACGAGAGGACAAACCAATACAGTGAAACCAAAAGTCCACAACTCAAATCAGAAACCAATGAACAAGCTTTGAAGGAACAACAATGAAAATCCCCACAAAACTAGAAAAAAATCTACCACTAATTCGAAGAAATTTACTACAACCATCATAAGAGATAACGATGAAGCAATTGAATAAAACAGATACTAAACCTACTAATTTGGCATACCAAAAGACAATTCCCAAAAAGGCATCTTTCGCCACAAAACGAGATCCGGCGAAATCAGAAAGTCAAAATCAAATATACTGAGACCCGATACAAAGACAGAACCTCAAGCAGATTAGTTGCATTCGAACTAAGGAACCAACATCTGTAAACGCACATCAGATTAAGAGATCGTCATATCAGTGACGTGCATGCACGCATCAGAGAGAGATAGAGACTCACTCTTTGGTTACAGCGAGGGCGTTGTCGACGATCCTTTGCATGATTTCCTCCCAAATTCAAAAATAAAAACAGACCTTTATGGGGGGGGGGAAATCCAACCCGGATTTTTCTCGCTAATACCCAGAAATTTTCCTGGAAAACGACAACGGGAAAAAATCCAATCCACCAAAGGAAAGCAAGATTCTCAGAAAGACTCTGGTCCTTGTTGCTTCGAGAGAAAATATTCGAAATCGCATGCGATGTAGGAGGCCGAAAACCCAAGACGGAGATCGAGAGAGACCCGCAAGATCGAAAGCCGCAATCGGGAATCGGAATGTTTTTAAAATTTCGATGAATCCGATAAATTAGGGCACGTCGCCGATTCTTGCCGTCCACAGGAAGGTCGGTGAGGAGACCAGTGGGTGACACGTGGACGAGAATGATTGGATGGAATTGAATGTATCATCAATTGGATTTTGCATGCGGAGATGGAGACATTACACGTAAGTCTTAAGTGGCGGAGAAGCTACACCTTTTGTCCTATTTTTTTAAATCTCTAATAATTTCAAACATTTAAAAAACATAATTCTAAAAATCGTGGATATGAAGATCTTTGTTTCGGACCGTTGATGACGACGATGTGACGTGGACGACCACGATTGTCAATCATTGATGGATAAGATATACGAAAAAAAAGGCAAACCAAAATGATATAAAAAAAATAAATAAAAAAGAAAAAATCTGGGTGAAGAGATCCAGTCGCCTCGATCTAACACCGTCCACGTGTCACCGATCTATTTCGTTTTTTTTTATACTTTCTTTTTCTGTTTTTTTGTTCATAAAAAGAATTTCCAAAACAATGTGTTTATTGGAATCTGGGCGATAATTTCCATGCATGGCGCGTAACGCCTTTTTTCTTTTCTTTTTGTATGAACCAGATCCTAAATTTTGGATTTGTTTTTCCATATTTTTGTTTTCGTAAAATTGCCTAAAAAGTAAAGCAATAAAATAATTTAAATATTTTGTTTTGTTTCAGTTCTTAATATTTCACTTTTTTTAAAAATGCGATTAATATGTAATAAAATGCTTATAAAATAGCAAGATTAATCACTTAAAAATTCATTGGCTCAACTGATAAAGATGGGCAAAAAATCTTTCGAACACATTTTTTTCAAATGCTAGTGTTTTTTTTTAGGATTAACACTATCTTTTCTGTAAATATCGTTAAAATCTAGGATATTTTGGTAATTCCAATTCACTTCGAAAGTATAACATACGGATAGACGAGAACCCGAATCCAAATTTCTAGATTCTCATCGCTAACTATCCTAATTTATTACACTAATCTCTTTGATATCTTTAATTTGGATTTTTCGGGTCCATCCCCACTCCAAATTCCACCACGTGAATTTTATTTTATTTTTATCATTAATCGTTTAGTTGCACCTTTTTTTAAATAAAAAAAAATCATAAAGTCAAACTTGCTTTGGCCCTACGGAGTCTAACAATTAATTGCTTTGGTAATCTCTAAAAAAAAAAAATCAAAACGACGTTTGCAGTATCACAAAGGGTGGGGTTAGGGGCATGGGACTCGATCATTCGCATTAAACACGAATGGACAAATGCAGTTTACTTTTTTTTTTTTGGAAGATATCTAATGGAAAATAATAAAGAAAAAAAATACTAGTAATAATAATAAGGAGCATTTAATTAGAATTGGAATGTTTTCCGTTTTAAACGACTTATATTTGTTTTATTTTTTAAAATTGACATAGGTTATATTCCAATTAGATTTAGATTTAAATTTTAAATTTTGCAAGGATTCGTATTATTACTGATTTTAAAATTATTTTTTATATTTACTTCGAATTTTATTAATTTAATTTAAAACCATAACAGCCCAATATAATTTGAATTAGTTTTATTACTCGTGTAGTTTTACCTATCCACTTGGAAATATTGATCCAATTTAATATAAGATTAAAATAGGAGAATTGACGATGGCAAAATATGTCAATATTTTTAAAATTAATCTGACTTTGCTAAAGAAATTTGAAAATTCATATATATATATATATATATATATATATATTAATAACGTCTAACAAATTTTTAGTATATTGACATGTAAGATAGAGACACACCATGTGGACAAAAAAATTGGTAATAAAAGGATATAGCAGCACTTACGATTTTTTTTTCCATAGGGTTCTAAGTTTTTATAGATGTTTAGAATTTTTGTTATCTCGTGAAATGGAATCAAATTACATTAATTTTGTGAAATCTTAATTGAAAAATAAATGATATAATAAATCAAAGAAAGAAGCCATCGGCTAAATCTCTACGTACTTTTATACAATATATATCGAATTTAGAAAATTCAAATAGAATTTAAGGAAAAAATTATCTTGCTTTACTGATTCAAATAAGAAGAGATTGATATTTATACAAATAAACTATGTAACAAAATTTAATCCCACTGAGCGAAAATGTTTTGTGCCATATTATTGTCTACCACCTTTGAATGATGTCGCGCGACTTATCCTCCAATAAAATCAAAATATAATTTTCAATGCACATTAAGAGAAGTTTATTTTTTTTATGGCAAATATGCTTTTGTATTTAAAAAAAAAAAATTCAAACGCTCGCAAAAACATATGTAGGAAAATCATAAAGCCCATTAATCACAACTCAACAGTCTCAACCAAATTGGTAAAAGTTGGATTCTCTAAAAGTCATAACGTTTATTTGGAAACAATGTATTTATTGTCTAGAAAATAACAATGTTCTTATTAAATTAATATTAGAAATAAACCATCTTATATGAACATTATTATGTTAAGTAGTAAATGATTAAAATTCCTCCAAAAATAATTGTAATAATAATTTCTTATTTAAATAATTATGGTTGCAAGTGGTTAATGGTGTTATTCGATATATATAGAGATTTCAGACTTATTTAATTTAAATTGATGAAAAAATATTTTAAAATTTTCAGTTGATGAATTTAAAAATGATTCAATATTTTTCATGCAATATAACAAAATGATTCAACAAGTTAAAAACGATTTATTCGTTTCCATCCAATAATCAGGTAATGCAAAGATGGCTAAAAAAAATGTTCACACCCTAATCAACTTCAAGATGTGGCACCCAAGCATTGAACATGTAAAGCATAGTTTCACTCAGGTTCCCGAAGACATTAATTTATTCAATCTTTCTTTCGAATTTTTAAAAAATGTAATTCACCCCGAAAATTTGGTGAACTTTCGAATCATAAAAAACTTAAAATATGGTAAAGATTTTCATATTTCTTATTGACAAAAAAGAAATTTTTGTCTCCTTGTAATTATTATAAAAAGAAATTTACATGGCTCTAACAAAGATACAACATCAAACTTGTTCAAAGCTTTATTTATTTTATTTTAAATTGATACATAAGCGATATGCAACTTCTAATAATTCAAACGATAGATTGGCCTTGCAAGCACATTATTTGCTCGTCCAACTGTAAGTCCAAACCTCTCATCCATGTCAATCTCTTCGTGAACCATTCCATCAGGCATCTTCCAATCAAAGGAATGCACCAAATGAGCTAAGACAAGCCTCACGTTCAATATTCCCATATGCATACCGGGACATCTTCTTCGTCCGAACCAAAAGGAATAAGTCTGAAATCTAAACCTTGAATATCAATATTGTCATTTTCAAATCTCTCGGGATAGAACTCTTCGGTGTTATCTCCCCACACACCACGATCTCTTTCTATAGACCAGACGTTAATCAATACTCGCGATTTTTTCGGTATGTAGAATCCATCAACCCAAACATCTTCCATAGATTCATGAGGAACCAAGAGGGGTCCAATGGGATGTAACCTAAGACCTTCTTTTATAACCATATCCAAATATGTCAGCTTTGGTAAATCACTTTCTTGTACCATCCTATCCGTTCCAATGATAGTTTCTAACTCCTCTTGTAGTTTTTTCATGACACGAGGGTTCTTCAAGATCTCTGAAAAGATCCATTCGATCGTCTTTGCAGAGGTCTCGAGTGCTGCTCCAACCATGTCTAGTAATATTACTTTAACATGGGATCTATCGATTATTTCTGAATTTTTGTCTTGTGGGTCCATGGATTGATTCTCCAAAGACAGAAGTACATCCACGAAGTCCTTGTCGTCCTTGGACTTGTGGTCTTTTTGCTGTTCATGTTCTTCGATGATCTTTTCAAATATTATGTTTGTTGACTGACTTAGTTGTTTCATCCTTCGAGCTAAACCCTAAACATATAGTGCACAGATAAATACTTTACGACATCCAAACATCTATATATTATTATAAATATATAAACAAACCCAAATAAAAAAAATAAAAATGCAACGAAATAAAAGAAACTTATTTGGAAGCGACACATGAAATTACCTGAAGATCCAAGGGAGCAAGTAAAGGAAAATAATCCGAAATATTGAAAACTCCTGAGATTGACACAGCCTCCTCCACAAGCTCTTTAAGCCTCGTGTCGTCATCGTTTTTACCACGTCCAAAAACCATCCTATACACCAAATTCTCGAAAAGCTCGATCAATATTTTACTGACATTCACTACCTCATTCTTCTCCGCTGCGGTTTTGAGACGATTCATCGTCACACCAATCTCTTCTGTTCTGATTGGTTTAAACTGTTCGATCTTAGACGAGTTTAGGAGATGAACGACATAGAGTTTCCGTACATTTCGCCAGCGCGAACCGTACGGAGTTAGGGTCACGGCCTTGGATCCATTGAAGAAGATCTTGGATGCTTGAGTTTTAGGGCGGGCAGCGAAAACGTGGTCGTGGGTCTTGAGAAAGAGCTCGGCGGCGCGTGGAGACGAGACAACGATGGTTCGGACACCTCCGAGCTTGATGGACATGATGGGTCCGTATATATTGGATAAGTGGGTTAAGGTTTGGTGTGGGAGTTCCCCCAACATGTGGAGATGTCCGATGACCGGCAGGCCACGTGGACCCGGTGGAAGTTTCCCTAAGGTTCTAGAAGCTCCGCGCCGTGATAGCTTTGGAAAGAGGCAACCGACGGATCCAAGAAGGGCCAAGAGAATTAGGACGAGGGCTAAGAGAGACATTGTGGTTTATTTAGCCTTTTTGTTTCTAAGATCCCTGAGGTTTAGCTTAGGAGAAACCAACGGGAGCTCTACTTAAAAAGAATTTTATTTCGAGGATGAGACAGTTGTTCATTAAATTGCATGACGAGGAATCCAATCATGCGATGCATGAGGAAAATCTTATTATAATGAATATTTAAATTGCTTGTCATTTTCTTCTTGATGGAAAAACATATGTATAAACAGGATGTGGAGTCTTGAGCAAAACCCTCGGTATTGTGTAGAAGCTCTCAAAGCCTCCAGATGAAGCAGAGGTTCTGAAAAACACGGAGGGGCATTCTGGTCTTTTCTTAATTTAGTAAATGAAACCCTAAGGGTTTCAAGGTTGTTCTCATTCGAACGGTTCTGCGTGTGTTTTCGGTCGAGAGACTCTCTCTCGTCCGGCGAGCATAGCTCGTGGTCTCCGGCGCCGTTCCGGCGGTGTCCGGTGGTTCCGGTCGGTTGTAACCCTAGCTACTAAACGCGGCTTCCTCTTCCCGAGACGTAGGCCCGAGCTTTATGCTCGGTGCTGAACTCGTAAACCTCTGTCTCCTCTTTCTTTCTGATCAAACGAGTGTAGATCGGAGAGGTTACGGTGAGGGATCGGTCGATAATCCACTACAAGTGGTATCAGAGCCTGGTTGAAGTGCGATTCGGTGGATTTCGGCGGCGTCTCGGTCATCCAGGTAAGTCTGAGTCTCGGTGGTTTTAGATCTGAGCGTTCTGATGTTTCTTTCGAGTGTTTCAGGGCTCGGAACAGAGAGATTGAAGGTCAGAAGGTCAGATCGGCGGTGAAAGATCCTGTGACGGAGCTCAGACCGGTGGGACGAAGATCGGTAAGTTTCGGATCTAACTCGAGCTGAGTCAATCAGCCGAGTTCAGAGCCCGAGGAGGTAAGTTGTGCCTGTGTGCGGTTAGATCTAGGGTTTCTGGGTAAAAACCGGTGGAGAACCGGCGATTTTCCGGCGAAATTGGCCGTGACTCGCCGAGTCGCGGTTGAGTCGGAGAATCGGGGTGAGTCAACCACCGGGTTGACTCGGGTGACTCGGCGGCTTCCGCATTCCGAAATTAGGGTTTTCGGTTTAAACCGGTTTAGCCGGTTTAAATCCGATTGAGTAATTAAACCCGGTTCAATTTTTCAATCGAACCGGTTTAGGTCGGTCAGGTCAAACCATTGACCAAAATTGGTCAACAGTTGACCGGTTAGGTCAAACCGGACCGG